ATAAAAGTGGAAGATGCTTTATACCACAATTTGATAATGGAATGCTTTAAATTAAAGCACAATTTGATGAGGAAAATGCTCTATGGCATGATTTGACAGGAAAAATGCCCCATGACATATCAAGAGTGCTCTATAACGAACTGGGTCTTTAGACCCAATGATTCAACTCCAAGACTTAAATGCTTAGGTGAGGTGATCAGAATTTCAAACTCTACCACCGTGAACTTCACCAAAAAGCGATCTGATGGCTGTACACCTTATTTGAGAGGGTGAAATGTTCACCCGATCTAAGGATCGAATCCCCAATTGCTAACAACTAATTCAAACTAACTTACTAATCATTATCCTTGTCAAAAAAAAAAAAAAAGAGTGCTCTATAACGCTATGCTTTTTGGCATAATTTTTAAAAGGAAAAGTGCCCTATAGCATCATATAAAAGTGGAAGATGCTTTATACCACAATTTGATAATGGAAATGCTTTAAAGCACAATTTGATGAGGAAAATGCTCTATGGCATGATTTGACAGGAAAAATGCCCCATGACATATCAAGAGTGCTTTATAACGGTATGCTTTTTGGCATAAGAGGGTAGGTTGTGCAATTTTGACATTATAATTTAAACTACACAATAATTTTATGAGAAGAAAAAACCAAAAATAATTCTCAACTGAAGAACTTTTTTTTTTTTTTTTTTAATTCGTCGATGCCAAACAGATTCATACATTTTTTCAATTTTTTTTTCAAATAAAATAAAACTTTAAATACTAATAAGGTTCAAATTAATGAGATGAGTTTCTTAGATGATTCATTCTCCCATACGGTAGCTTGGTAGAACTTTATCCGTCCAATATCAAAGATTTCCAAAAGCAGCTAGTATTTGGATACTGAACCTTTCTCTTATTCTCCCTTGAGAATGCTATCCAGCTTCAGATTCCTTTTAGATTTCTTGTTGAACTCGGACACTGCAAACTTGGCAATCTCCAACAAGTGTGGGCCATCCGCATCCTTTATTGGCTCCCATTCTTGGCCTGCACAAGTGCACAGATGATAGGTAGGAGGAGGAGAGAAACGGAGAGGAAAAGGGGACGAAAATTCAAATGATTCAAATGCATTGAGATGGCTTTTCGAGAGGCCTTTGTGTTTGTCTAGAGGTGGTGCCACTGGTGGGCGACCCCACTGATATGCGTTACGAAATGCAATTTGGTGGGTGGGAGGATAAAGAGGAATTTGGCACTAAATTGACCAAAAAAAGGAAGAAAAAAGTAGTAACTACCCGTTAATGATTTTTTTTTTCAAGAAATTAAAAGAAATAATGGAAAATTAGGCAATGGGTTTAAATTGAGGTTCTTTCTAACTTATGCGATGCATCTATTGCACAATTTTCTATTAATTTAAATAAAAAATTATGAGAATAAATTTTTATTTTTAATATTAATATCACATGAAATAATTTAATTAGATAGTAGATAAAACTTAAATCATTTTTTTTTTTCATGAAAATTAATGGTGAAAAAGCAAAATAATTACACTTTCAATTGTGCCATTTAGAACATTTTCACAATTAATATCCATTAATTAATTTCTGATTTTAATACTATTGATGTAAGTAAATACAAGGGAAATGATTTTGAGACAATTTTTTATACCACATTTTGGTACAACCTGACATGTTATTTAAATGATTGATTTTTTTATTCATATGTGATCCATGATATTAAATGTATTCACTCATTTAATAACATGTGGAAGTTATTTCAAAAAGTAATATAAAAAGTTATCCTTATAGTACCACTTTAAATACAACTAGGTCTAGTTTTTTTTTCCTAATAAAATAGTATATAACAATTAATTTTAAGGGCATCTTAATTATACATTTTTATTATTAATTTGTATAAAAAATAAAAATTAATTTTAGATTTATCAATCATCTAATGAAAATATTTCACATGGTATTGGTGTTAGAAAAACCCTATACTTGTTCATAATTAATCACTACTTAAATAATCCATATGATATGCTTAATATATATTACAATTATCCTCTTTAAATAAGTGTAAATAAGTACATTAGAAATATGTTTGATTCGAGGGAATCTGAAAGGGAAGGGACGAAATTTAGGGAAATTAAAAGAAATATAATATAAATGACTTCTCTCCTCTATCCTCAAATCAAATATATTATAAATGATATTTTAAAACAAAATAAACAGTTGAAATTTAATATCTCAAATTAAAAACTAAATCTACTCTTATAAAGCTAAATGGAATATAACTCCAATGAGAGAACTCAATGGTTAAGAATTTGAAACTTTAAATTGGAGAGATCAAATTTGAACCTTGAGTTAGATAAGGAGGAATTTAGAAAAAAACAAAAAAAGTTATCCCCTTTTGTATAAATTATTCATATGTATCCAAAAAAAAAAACACCTAAATGGAATATAATTGTCCGTACATCATTACCTATTTAACACATTCATTAATTTCAGGTTTTAAAAGAGGTGAGGATAAGCAAGTGACATGAAATAATTTACCAAAGAAAAAAAGGGGAAAAGTTGACGTAATAAATAATAAAAGATCTAGAACGTATTTGATTATAAGCAACAAAGTGAAAACAAAAGCATGCGTCAGATGCGAAGTAATCGAAATGGGCATGCATAGAAAAACATTTAAGGTGAAAACTTCATTTTGATCTTTCCATTTTAATTAAAAAAATCTTTTTAGTCCTTTTACTTAAGAAAGTTTTATTTTAATCTCTAAAGTTTATCATCCCGTCCATTTTTAATCCTTCAATTATTTTTTCATACATATGGTACATTAAATAACAAAAATTTTAAAGTAGAAGAACTAAAAAAAATAAAAAACTCCTTTTTGTCCCTATACCTTAAAAAACTGTCTCTTTTGAATCCTTCTACTTTGAAAAAGGTCCTTTTTTTTAATCCTTTATTATGAAATTTTTGTTATTTAATATGTTATATATACAAAAAGATAGCATAAGGATTAAAAAGGAGTTTTATTAAGTAGAGGGATTAAAATTTTTTTTTGTTAAAATAGAGGGATAAAAAATGAGATTTTAACCCACATTTAACCATAGAATCATTGATGAAAATGATAATGAAAAATAGATACCACTCATGCGCACGAGGATAATGATATAATTTATATTTTCAATCTTTTTGAACATTAATTTTTTTATGCTAATAGACAATGTTATTTCATAATTATAGATTATAAATAAAACTTACAATTTTTTTATGACACTACAAACTTAAATGATTTTGTTGTTGGTTAAAATTTCAACTCAAACTCTTATAACTAAGCAAACGAAATAATTTAATTTTATAATGACATATTTCATGTTGAGCCATTCTTTATTTTATATATGTTATAATTTATATTATATTTATACAATAAAAAAAGTTTTCACTCCCTCTTAAATTTCAGTCAAGTTTCGTCCATAGTGTATCCAATAGGTCAACAACTATACTATTAGTAACGACTATATTCTTGGCATACCACATAATCTAATTGTCATTATGATTTTTGAAGACCCATTCTCTACAACTCCACTAGTATTAAGGTTTAACAAAATTTGGAAGAGGCTTATGTCATCAAAACATGTCATGCTGCCTATTACATGCATAAGACTAAATACGAAAAATTGACTAAAATTCAATAGTTTTATAGATAATAAAAGAAAGCAATTTAGAATCTTGATAAAGCTTATATATCACTCCGTAAAGAAATTCCCCAAATAAATGAATGAGAACAAAGTAGCCTTAAGAATTTTGAAATAGGGAAATCATGCGTGCATTTAGAGCTTAACCAACTAATAATAATAATAATAATAAATAGTTTTATTCTTAATAATTATACCAAGTATTCACTCTAGTGATCCATGATCCATGATTAATCTTTGAATTTATACCTATGTTTCAAACAATAAATGCACTCATAACGCAATAATCAAACACGCCTATCATTTAGCATGATTGTGAGAAATGTGAATGTTATTGGATTCTTTATTGCTTTGGAGAAACCTCATTGCGCTTGAAAGTGTAGTCAATGATGGTATATTATATGAGAAATGATATGTTTACACTCCTAATTGACACATTCAGTTGTACACATCTAGTTTAATGGATAAAATATGATATAATAGGATTTGTCAACCATTGAAAACTTATCCCTCACTTATTTGAGACAATTTATTAGCATTCATTTCCTCCTTCGAAATTCCTTGTTAGTGGCTATCACCTAAACCCAATCGATCCCTCCAAATTCTACAAATTCCAACACTCACTCATCCCAATTTGATGAAATCTTATCAATTGTCCTTCCTTGAGCTTCATTTTCCCCAAAATGACCACACTTAGATCAAAACGACATTGATCGCCAACGATGCACCATAAATTAATAGAACTACCAGCAACCCTATTTTTGCCTTCATTCCGTCCTCACCCATGTCAAAAAATTAGGGTTGGGGCCTCTTGGGTTTGTAGGTTTAGTTGTTTTATAGTTATTTTTGGGTTTTGAGTTTTTGGGCATTCAACTTCCAATGAAAATTCACAAAGGTTAGGGTTTCCAAAAATGCTGTGGGCCCTTAGCTCAAAAGCAATCTTGAGGCCTTCTTTACCTTGTTGTTTCTTAGATCTATGGATGATGTAGAAGAATGCCCACAAGCTTCACATGGGTATTAATAAATTCTTCTTTAACTAAAAGCAACTCCTTTTGTTCTTGTTTTTAGCTTTTGTTCTTATTTTTAGTGGAAAAAGTTATGGCTCTTTAGGGCTTCAAAGCTCTTAAGCAAGATGTTTCCACCTTGAGTATTAGTAAACAAAGCTTTCTACAAAATTTTCACCTTAGGCTTCAAAGTTATCATTAACTATAGAGAAGTTTTTTTGCTAAGTGGAATAATATTGGAATTCTTGTTGGCATTTGTTTGGAACCATAACTAGGGAATGACTGGATGAATGAATACATATTGATAAATTAACATTCTCAATGAATATGAATGTTAAACGCAGCAAAATGACAGCTCAAATGTGTGAGGAAGAAAGCAAAGCCCACAAATCCAATTGTTTGCATAATGGAGTATCATAGGGTATGATGAGAATCCAATGAGCTTACAACAACTCTTCATTAGGGAACAATTCTTCATTAGGGAAACTTCACTGAATAAGGGTAGAAAAGAGCACATAGCAAAAGAGAAACAAGTAAATGTTGCACATGATTCTAATAAAAATAAACAAATTAGATTTTAAGAAACTTAATGAAAATTAGATATTCACAAACTTTTCAGCCTTATTTTCTCTGTAAAAATCTATTTACTACCACTAAGCAAAAGCAAGTTAAGGCCAATCATAATTAAACAAAACTCAACCCAATACATAGATCCAAAAGCTGTGATAACGCGGCAGGAACACATGCGTCCCAACAATGATGTGGCCCCGAGCTGATCTCTCAAAAAAGACTAAATGAATTTTATTTTTGTCAAGAAATCAAAATAATACATACAACAATTGCATATATAATTTCTAATCACATATGATCTTTTACATTTAATGGTATATATATGATATAAATACAATTTAAATTTATTATTAGTGTTTTAAATTATACTTCTATTTTTAAACTATAATGCCATAATGTAGAGATTTAAAAGTGATCTTTTTAATTATTACTGTAATAAACTATCTATTGTCAATTTAAAACAGAAAAATTAGGTAATGGATTTAAAATTAGAGTGCTAAGGAACATAATATAGAGATATAGATGTAATCTTTTTAATTATTAATAAATTATCTATTTTTCAGATAAAAAATAAAAAGGAAAATTAGGTAATATGTTTAAAATTAGAGGAGTGCTAGGGAAACACGAACACTTTCTTTTGAACACTTTTTATGTAATTAAGTTATATGAAATATAAATTTAATTTATTTAGTGATTAGTGATTAATATAAAGTTAATATTTTTAAATTTTAAAATTATAACTATTCACATTAAATTTAAATTACATATGTCTCAATCACATAAAAAGTGTTTAAAGAAAAGCCTTAGCAGGAAGTATCATTAGTATTCATCCAATTTGACATAAAGTACAAAATGAAAACAAGACTATGTATCATATAAACATTCAAGAGAATTCTCGATAAAAGATGGTAATTAAAAATGTTTTTTGATCAATGAAAATTTCAACTAGGAAATTGTCAACTAGAGATAATTTAATACACATGAAGTAATGAGTGGTTAGAAAAAAACAATGAAAATTCTCAACTGAAGAATGGAATTGAAATTATTTTTGGATCATTCAATACCAAACAGATTCAAACATTTATTAATTATTTTTAGTAAAATAAAACTCTAATCATCAATAGGTTTAAATGAGATGAGTTTCTTAAAGCTCTCCCCGTCCTTCTCCCAAACGATAGCCTCGTACAGCTTCCTTTGTGAGCCATCTTCCACGGCCAAATTCAACCGGTAATTGACTCCTGAAACGATCTGTTTTTCTCCCTTGAGGATGCCATCCAGCGTCAGATTCATTTTAGATTGCTTGTTGAACTCAGACACTGCAAACCTGGCAATCTCCAACAGGTGCGGGTCATTCAGATTCTTTATTGGCTGCCATCCTCCAAGGCCTGCACAGATGAGAGGAAGGAGGAGGAGAGAAACGGAGAGGAATTGGAGACGTAAATTCGACTGCATTGTGATGATTTTTCGAGAGGCGTTTGTGTTTGGGTGAAAGTGGTGGTAAAGGGTACTAGTATT